TTTTCGAAATCGAGTTCCTTTCAAAATTTGTCTGATATCTTTTCAAAAAAATGACTGAAGCATCTGAAACAGCTCCATAAAGCATTTTCAGGTGTCTGAAAGATGAATTTCGTGTTTCGGTATAATCTACTGAGTGAACTGAACACGAGGATACCCTTGGTTCATGAATTAAACAATTATTTGAGAGGATATGATCAAATAATCTGATCTGCAAAAATGCATGTGTTTAAATGGGAAATGCCGCCAGATGACGTCACTAGGTGAAGCATTTTCTTACTTTGAAATCTACTTTACACCATTTCCCATATCAGAAAAAAAAACTATAAAAAATACGATGAAAATCAGCTCTTCGAGCACTTTCAGACGAAGCAATAAAAAAGCATGCAAATTCTCCATTCGCCCCAGTTGTATATGAAGACGAGACCTCTGAAAAAGCCGGTAGTGCACAAAAATTGACGTCTCTCACGCAGATATCATAATTAACTTCAGTAATTCGCTGTAGGCGAAAAGCTAAGATTTTCCTTCAACTTTGCGTGGTACCACATTCCTACTCCGGAGTTCAAATAGTTGCATGCTTCATTTCCGCTTGTTGAAAATTGAGAAACTGCGTGAATCTCATCTCATTATCGCGAGAAGTACGCTATACTTCCACCGATGCCTTAATTCCTGAGGAATTACGCGTTTTTCAAAAGTGTATATTGATATTAAATATTCATTATGTGACCCTCTTCGCAAAATGCAATGGAATTATACAATGTTGAAACAGGAGTCTGCAGATTCTGAGAGGGCCCGAATGATGGGAATATTGGCACCGTCGCTGGAGATAATAAGGCTAATCTGAATGGAACGAGGCGGTGACCCATAAAATATCATTTAGCCGAAAACGATTTGCTGGAGCCCGACACGTGAGTCTTTTCTCGGGCGGCGCAAACGGGCGGGGGCGGGGGCGGGGGTGAGAGCGAGATTTTTTGCCGGTTTTTTGACTGGCGCCCGATTTGGGGTCGCGTGGCGGGACGAGCAACCCTAATCCTGACCGCAGGAACCAGGGCACGGAGGGGGAGGGTCGTGCACCCGCAGGAACCAGGGCACGGAGGGTCGTGCACCCGCCGCGCCGCGCCGCGCCGCGGAAAGTGACCGGCTGCGGTCGTGCATCGACGTGATAAGGTGGGTGGCTTTTACGATTGGATTGCATTTTGCAAAAAGGAACCACGAGCATTGCAATGTTGCTAAGACTGTGCAACTTCTTTGGTCTTGGAAAAAAACCTGATTATCCATCGACAGTTCCTATTTTACTCGCTGAAAACTGTGATTCCAAGACAAAAATTACCATGTAAATTTCATATTTTTCATGATTTCAGTTATTTTACTGCAAAGGATGAATTTGCAGAATCTTAGCATCATTGCAATGCTTCTGGTACCTTTTCGCAAACTGCAATCCAATTAGTTTTCGTGAGAAACTTATTAGGTGACATGTTGGGTATTTTTTTACCTAGTGGCCATCCCTACGTTACGTAACGCGTTGATAACGCGCTAGAATGGCGGGAAAATTATAGAGGGTACGTACCACTGGAGTCCAATTGCTATCTTCTCTCATTTTCCACTCATATTTCTTAAAATAAAACGTCCATCAATGTGAAATTTTCGCCTGTCAACCACAGACAACATGAATGCGAAATAAAAACGTTAAAATCTTAGTGGGGAGATAATTTCAGCAATTTGTGTCACACGAATCTTGTTCTACGAGACATTTTAAAGAGGAGACAAATGTCAGAATGCTTGAGTCTGTACCTTGTCTAGTAGTCCATTATTTCCTCTGTATTGTTGATGTGACACAGAATCCACAAATTTTTCATTCGAACCAGAGATAACGGAAATTGTCTCGCTTGATTGTCACAAGACTGTTATCTTCTAAATGCAAATTTGATTCGGCGGACTAGAGTACAGGTGAGGAGAACAGCAGTAGCGGAACAATGAGAGTTAAAAATTATCTCCTCTTATTTTTTCCCCAAGACTTTACCCTTTACGTAACAAAAGGAAGACACTGAAATTTTGAGATTACGAAAATCATTTGAAAAAACAACAAATTGTATTCAAGTTAAGGCCTAAAGCTGAAATGTCTACTAGTTTGACATCCCTTACAGTTTGGACGTTCTGATTGTTCTGTTTTGTCTTTTATTTGTGTTTTATAGTTTTCTTCCAATTTTATAAAAATGATAATCGGTTTATAAATAAGCTCATCCAATTAATGCAAATATGTCAACTTTTATATTTTTATTTTCCACAGACATTTAATGATCACGATTAAAGATGATATTTTAAGATTTTATAACTTGTATACAATACCAAAGCGAGGAATACCTCATTTTTTAAGATTAACAGTATATTGTTAATGTTGGGAAGCGCGAAGTTGAGTCTAGAGGAAGAACTTTAGAATAACCTCTACGAGATTCCTCGGCTCTTCACAGCAACAGTCGCCGTGACGACATTCGAATGTATATCCGAAACACGATGAACCTATTCGCAAAACTCGTCATTTTCACAAATTATGCTTGTGCAAAAACAGGATTGAAGATGTCGGTGTTTTCCATGTTGATTTCTGTGTAAGCACGTATGTGTATGTATTTTTCGTGTTGATAGAGGCAAAAAAACATCCGAACTTACGAGTGAATTTAAGGCGTATTTTTGTCAAAAACAAAAATATCTAGGCTGAATATCACACCCTTGAAATCACTTTTATATCGGTAAGTATGGTTCGCTTTCAGTCGAGAATAGTGTCGTTGCCTCAATTTTAAGTTCCGTATGAAATAAGTGCATTTATTACGAGCAAGTAGGTATTTGCTACGAGTAAAACTTTAAAGTTTGAGAATTTACGATGCTTCAAATAAATGTTAGAAAAGTAAGCAAAGAAAGAAGTAAAGTTTGTCGCCTCATAGGTGAATGAACGTTACCGGATTTTAACGTTGCGAAGTTTCCAGTAATAATTATTTGTATTTTAACCGGAAAATGATTGGCAATCTCTAGCTAAAAATTTCACTGATCTTTTTTCTAATGACGCTTAAAAATCAGCAAATTTTCAGGTAAAAATCACAGTCATATTCCTTAAAAAATTGAAATGTTTGATCGAAGTTTGCAACTTTGGAATTAAGTTACGTTCCCTCGTTTGGAGAACGACGAGTTTAAAGAGAGGAACTTTCAGTTATCAGAACGATTTATACCAGTACGAATGGTATGTGTTTTCATTGCAAAATCCTCATGCACCGAGAGAAAACTCGACACAAAAGTTTAGTTAATAGGGGAGGTAAAACACAAAATAACTCATGACTTCGGTTAACTCCAGGTTCTTTCAGTCTCTCTATTATTTTCTGCGCTAACCTCACCACAAGCTGAATTAAAATCAACACAAAATTTCGGTTCGTTTGTGTTTCACTAGAGTACCTACACAGGGAGAGTATGGACAACTCGAAATATGTAGCCCTTAGGGCCCAAAAGGGTAGGTAATCTTTAAAAACGAAAAATGCCACTGTCAATCTTTTGACTCAAATATCAAACGAAAATGGACAGGAAAATTCATAATTAAGCATTCTTCCGCAAAAATGAGTAAAATTATGCAAAAACTAAGTCAAATACGTGTTTTGCCAATGACAGTTCCCAAAAATTGTGATTATAAATCTCTCTGGATAATTTGAATTCATAAATTGCGTACCCTTTTGGGGTCCAAGAGCTCCATCACCTATCCTCAAAATTTTCGACATGTCCATTCTCTCCTTATATAGGTACTCTATGCTTCACTTCCTATATTAATGAAAAGTATTATAAGAGCACAAATATTCTTCTCAGTTAAAGTTCCGATTTCCCCAAGACGTTTAGCAATACAAGTGACTACAGTGTTGGCTAGACTTATCAGGAGTAACACTTTGCTTACCATGTTTCTTTTGAAGACAAAATGTCAATGTGTCATTAGTCATGCGTCACCAGCGAATATCATTGATAACGTCAACATTTTCAACACCTCTTTACAACCATGTAAAAATCGGTTTTGCTCCCAGTTATCCGTCGCCCCACGCTTTCTTTGGCCGTATGAAAACCCATCGTGAGTCGGAATTATATTTCATTTACTCGAAATTGTTAATTAGAATGTAAGTAAATGTGACTTTCCGCGGGAAAGGGACCTTAAGCCAGAAAGAATCAAAACAAAGTTATTAATATTACAACCTAGAGGAGTGTCCTATGAATTTTCCCGGTCAAAATTCTTCGAAAAATATCAAGTGGAACCGGAATGCTGACTGCAGTTTGAAGCTAAAAAACGTGAACGACATATAACACCCAGTGAAAGCGTTTGTTTTTCAATATATATTTTCAAAATTGAAAAAACGTAGTTTCGTTAAAAAATAAGAGAGATTCATAATCATAATTAGCCATTTTGAGGGCACACAACCGCCGAATCGTTGCACAAATTTCCGTTCCTTACACTGAAAAAAAAAGAATCTTAAATTTGCCGCCAAGACGTATTTTTTCTGAAATCAAGAATTTTGCTGCCTAATATGAACTACTTTTTTGCTTTACCCAAGCCCTCATTTTCCTTGTATCAAGAAAAATTCAACTTAAATCAAGATAAAACAAATTCTTGGCGCAAATTCAAGAATCATCATGCTTGAGCCAAGCACATTTTTTTTCAGTGTATACCTCTTGAAGCACGAAATGGACCGAATTGTGGACCGAAGTTGTGGACCGAACCGTTTGCAAATTCTTTTCTCATGACAATAGAAGATTTCCAACGAATCTTAAAATCCACTTTTTGCAACCATAACTACAAAAATTGCTCTTCTGTAAATCTAGTTCCTCCCTCCTTCTCTCTCTCCCTCTCTCTCTCCCCCCCTTCCTCCCCCTCCNCCTCCCTCCCCCTCTCCCCTTCTCTCTTTTGGACGACCACCATTTAATTTTTTTTCTCTCGTCCGATTGTGCATTAATCATTTAATTCATTTTATGGGAATTGACCGGAGAATACAGATGACGATTTTGCAAAAAGGCTCGGTTTTGTTGGTTTCAACGGTGATCTGGAGTGAGATTTTCGTGTGCCTCTCATCACCGTCGTCACCTACTGTGCGGACGAAAAATGGGTGGGTCATCGGGACCACAACCACAACAAGAATGGGTCGGAGGGTTGATGCGTTTCGGGGCATCCCTTTCGCAAAACCACCCGTAGGCTCACTCAGATTTCAGGTAAGGCACGCAATTTGAAACTTTTTGAACTTTAGCGAAGGTGACAGAGCTCCAAAAAGTGAATGAATAAAATAAAACCAGTATAAACTACACCTGGTAATGTGTAAAAAAACGTTTTGAAAAAAGGTATAAATCATGAGATTATTCATGTTCAAAAAATAAAAAGATGTATACCCGTTACAATGATAAAAATAAAAATTATATCCTGTGAAATAAAAAGAAAATTTACTAGAGTAAAAATTAAGAAGAAAAACAGTAGCGGCAGTTTGAGTTTACACGGAGAATAAAACTTCGTGCGTGGGACCCGAAGTCTAGGTCATATGGATCTCTGAAGTTTTCGGATTGAGCAGCTGAACACTTTAGGTCCAGCTGCTGAGGTTTGGATCACACATCTGAAACTTCAGTTCTTACATCTGAAGTACTTCGGTTCTCACACCTGAAGTACTTCAGATGTAAGAACTGGAGTTTCAGATGTGTGGTCCGAACCTCGACAGCTAGACCTAAAGTGTTCAGATGCTCAATCCGAAAACTTCAGAGATCCGTATAACCTAAACTTCGGGTCCCACGCACGAGGTTTTTTTTCTCCGTGTACGATCACACACTGCTGTGAGTCTTCACTTCACTTGGACATCATTTTGCAACAAGGAATTCTAGTCTCTGGCTCGGTTTAGAAACAACGTATGTGCCATTTGTTCTCCTGTGCACATACGTGTTTTCACGGATGAGCTAGAAATTTAGTTCTTAATTGCAAAATAAAGTCATTGTTTTCCTTAAATTCACAAAAAAAAAACAGCGCTATCTCGTACTGTAAGATCTATTCCACATTTATCAGGACCCAGAGCCTGCGGAAGCTATAAATGGAACCTTCCACGCGACTGAAGACGGCCCGGAGTGTGTCCAAAGGGCTAACAATGATCTTTCCCAGCCTCTTCAAGTGACGGGCGACGAGGATTGCTTGCGACTCAATGTTTACAGACCGAGTGTGAGTCTAAAATTTTCTTTCTAATTATCCGTAATATCAACTCGAGGTTTTTTCGCTTGTAAATGAAAAAAAAACGAACAAAAAAAGAATATACTCAAAACCATTATTGTTAGTTGGCATTGCATGTTACAAGGGGAAAATATTAACTTTTTGGAGAAAATGTTGACTATGTGTAGATGGCATATTCAGGTATGGTGGTGATATTTTTTTAGATTAGTTATATTTTGCGACAAAACAAAACGGAGATCAAATACTGTAATGCAAATTTAACTCAGTAATTTTTTTTTTAAACGGAATGTTATGCGGACCATAGATTGGAAGTGGGTTAAGGCTATTTCAGCTGCTGCCATACTTCACGAGACGAAAAAAAGGAACATTTAGACTAAAATGAGATGATTATGAAATAGCCGCTAGATTTTCCATAATATCGCAACTTACATAATTCTGATTTTATGATTTTCAGTCCTACTGATTTGAGTAGTCTCAGGTCATGGCGGATAGCTTCAAAAATATAACACGGTATAAAATATGAAATACAGAACCATTCTTAAACCAGCCATTTCCCTGGTTTAAGATGATTCGACGGACGCCATATTTTGTATCTGAACGGCATGCGATATATCGCATCAATTGGTTCCATATTTTCAGCTACTCGTCATTTTTCTCCAATTTTGAGATCGCAATTCTGTTGTCAGGAGACTAAAGCACTCACTTTACCAATTTTAACAAAAAAAATTCAACGTAATAAAGGCGTGGTTTTTTTAGAGAGAAAATTTCACATTCGAGTGCAGTTTCGATATCAGTATCGAATGCGATATTTTCTCTCTAAAAAAACCACGCCTTCATTACGTTGAATTTCTTTGTTAAAATTGGTAAGTGAGTGCTTTAGTCTCCTAACAACAGAATTGCGATATCAAAATTGGAGATGAATGACGAGTGGCTGAAAAAATGGAACCAATTGATGCGATAAATCGCACGCCGTTCTGACACAAAATATGGCGTCCTTCGAATCACCTTAGATACAAAAGAAAACTCTAACAGGAATAAAAAAAATGAGATTTTTCCGGAATCTCATCTGATCAGGCTCGTTTTGTGATTTTTTGTGACGATTTTAGGTGCGTTATTTTTTTGATGGTATGAAGGATGACATCAATAGTTACTACAATACGCAAACTCAAAGTTCGACGCAAACTTACAGTTCGCAGGGTGAAAATGATGAAGGTGATGGTGGTAGGGCCTACTCGAATCTACCAGTGTTGGTTTTCATACACGGCGGGGGTTGGACCACGGGTTCGGACCAAATGGACCTTTACGGACCTCACTACCTTCTGGATTCCAGATACGATTTTATTCTTGTAATATTCAATTACAGGCTCGACGTTTTCGGTACGCACACGATCTTTGTCACATAAAAACGTTGAGTAAATCAGTACAGGCCACATTTTAATTCTACGTTGCAAAACATCTAGACCACTACTCTGCCATGTTCGCAAAGAGAACAGAAAATACAGAATGGACCACTAGACAAGGTACGAATTTCAGCATTCTAATACATGTTTCCTGACCAAAATTTCATGTAAAACACGAGTCACGCAACGAAAATTACCGAAATCAACTCTTTACGAAGATATTTAATGAATCTTGATGCGTGAATTCAAACCATCCGCTCATGAAAACTCAATGCTCTACGTGATTCACATCGCGCGCTAAACGTTATCTTGACAGTATTTGCGATATAAAAATCTGGCAACGTCGATCTTGACGCTTTGGCTCAGCTGTAGCAAATTGCTCATAGTTTGAACAACACATGGTGTGAAATGAACAGTGCTCGATTGAGAAGCTTGCTGAAACCGTTGTAGTACGCGATTTGACTCACGTAGAGCTTTGAGTTTCTTGTGAGCGGGCAGTTCAAATTCCTCGTAACCAGTGTGAAATAAAAACGTTAATCTTTGTCAAGAGTTGGTTTCAGTAATTTTCGTCGCGCGAATCGTGTTCTACGTGAAATTCTGGCTAAGGACCATGTATCAGATTGCTAAATTCGTACTTTGTCTAGTGGTCCATTGAGGTTTTGAGACAATTTTCCAGGTAGACAAAGGTAAATTTCTTCGATGTTTATTCGTCAGAACCGAGCTTTTTAGATAACCAATGGTAACTTCACAAAATACAGAAGTTTCATTCAGTAAAATTATCCACTTGGACGAAAGTAGGTGAATCAACTGAAAGTACTTCCGCTCAAGCGGATAATTTTACTGGATGAAACTTCTGTATTTTGTGCAGTTATCATTGGTTATCCAAAAAACTCTGCTCGGATGAATAAACATCGAAGAAATTTACCTCTGTCTACCTGGAAAGTTACAGCGTTTTTGATATAAAACAAATACATCTTCGGATTGAAAATTGGCGATTTGCATTAGACAGCAGAAGATGCTGCTACCCTCCAAAATAATATAAACTTTCTGCTATTTTTCCTGAAGCTTATGTCAATTGTTGTAGGCTTACTGCTTGTTTTAAAGAATAGGAGGATTTCACTGTAATACCTGGATCAGTGAGTTCATTTAAATTAGATTATTCGAATTTCGGATGAGACTCAATTTTGATAATTTGGTCATTGCTACTCTCTTCGGTAACACGCATGCAATTTTGGCCCCAGGCATTTCATTTTTGACTATATATTGGAATTAAAGCGAGACAGCGCGGCGCGGTGTCTTGTTAATAGCAAGGAACGGGAATACCATTATTGTGGCTCCGAAGTACCCTTTTCTGCCTAACGCATGAATTGAAGGCGAAAAAATTTGCAGCAATGGGTCACTAAACAATGACCTAATTTGGACTTGCAAATACATTTTTCTAAAAGTGAATGAAGCATAGAACAAGATGCGCACATCAAAAATGCGAAAAAGTAACTCGGAAACGATGAAATATAAAAAAACGCAACATGCAAATTTAAAACGCCCTGTTTTCGAGGCGAACCGAATGATGTCATCCTGCACAAATCAGAAGCCATGGGTTTCTACAACTTCTTTCATGAGAGAAGGTAGCGAGTTGACTACCGTAGTACGGCAACGACCATATATATAATTTTCCCGCCATTGCATTTTGTTTGGAATTCCTTTGAGTGTTTGGACTTGTTATGGGCGGGCTTGTCCGAGATTTTGGGATTTTGTCCAAAAATAGGCAATAAATCACTCACCTACAACTTTCAAAATATCAAATTAAAAATACAAAGTTTAGTGACCTATTGACCTGGACCACGGAGTTAACATTATTGCTTTCCAAACAAGGCATTGAAAAATAGAAATTGAATATAGAAATATAGGATTATAGGAATATAGAATTGAATATAGAAATTAAAAACATAGTCAAAATTTTCTAAAATATTATTTCCTTTTTTTTAACATACAATTTAGTATAAATTAAGATTATAGTTGTAATAATTGTTACTATTAAAATAAATACCGATAGTTTATCATCTAGAATTAAAAGCGCTTTGTGCCTAGGCACTATGTTGTCAAACTTGTCTAACGTTCACAAATTCTCTCCGTTTCGATATTCAAAATTAAGAGATTCCATAATTTCTCAATCATTTTTCAGGGTTTTACTGTTCGGGTGACAAAGAAGCACCAGGAAATTTCGGTTTGAAGGACCAAGTTTTAGCCTTGAAATGGGTGAAGGAGAACATCCGGGACTATGGAGGCGATCCTAATAATGTTACCATTTTCGGTGAAAGTGTCGGTGGCGTGAGCGTCCACACTTTATTTTTCGCTAGGTCGGCACAAGGTAAATATTTCAAGAACCACTTTAAAAATTTTAAATAATTATAATTATACATATATTTTTGAATTCCATCAGAGGACGGTTTTATGAAAAAAATCGGAAAATTATCTCACGACGTAAACCAATCGTTTATAAAATAATAGGCTTACCGTCTTCAAGATAATTGAAACTTACATATATGATTATGCCGACCTCTTCGGCCAAAACTTGAGTACCTATATTAGAGAGAGTCCTGGGTTTGATTCCCGGCCAGGTGATCCGAGTTGGATGGTCTCGGGCATGGTCGCCTGGGGCTGGGGTAATAAGAGTGTGGAAATAGCCCTACTTTGAGAGAAAAAAAAGTTCGGTCATATGTACCAAAGTTCGGCTTTCCATAGCATCCCAACTAATTCGCTTCGTCAAACTGAATTTTCAGTTCGTCAAACTGAACTGTCGGGTCGTCAAACTGAATTTTCGGTTGTCAAACTGGATTTTCAGTTTGTCAAACTTAACTCTCGGTCGTGTAACCAAACTTGTGCGGTAAAGTGAACTAACGAACTGAGTTTGGCCGATATGCGGAACGTTCGGTCACACGACCCGAAAGTTCAGCTTGGCAAACCGAATATTTGGGATGGTATAAAACACCAAACATTCGGCTCGCATAACTGAATTTTTTTTTAGTGATGAGCTATTTGAAATGTGGTTAAAAAAATTGTACACATAAAAGTTGTGAAAACTCGGATGATTTGATTTCAGGGCTGTTCCAGAAAGGGATCTCAATATCCGGGACGGTGGCTATGCCAGTGGCCCATTTGCCGGTGGCGTTCGTAAACTCGGCAACAGAGCGACTCGGCGAGAGATTCAACTGTCCTTTGGAAAATTCTTCTGCTCTTCTGGCGTGCATGCAGGAGGTTCCTGCCTACGAGCTCATCGAACAACAGCTCAACACATCTCCGGTGAGCTCAGAAACAAGCAGCGTTTGTGCTCATCTACAGACTGAAAAAAATAACTACGGGCGTCAAGTCCGTTCTTAAGGGCTATATAGCGCTACCGTCCTTTGTGGGCTGAAAGGCCGAAAGTTACGGGTGAAGCATACGTTGTTCCGGCTTCTGTACCCGGAGCAGTATAGGAAATACGGTTCCAGCACCCGGAACTCCGAGTCCATGAGCCCGCAAACGGACGTCAGTGCTGTAGCCTGTAACTACGGCTTCCACAACCTGCAGTTTTTCTTCAGTGACAAAATATAAGCAGTCATAAAATGAGGAACTTGGAGGATAATGCGCATAAGTGCATTTGTTGCGATTTCGAGGAATACGTGCGTTTGATGTTTCGAAATCACATGGATCCTCATGTTGGAGAGAAAGTTCAAACTGACTTTTTGATGCTTAAAAATTGTAATTAATTTGGGAGCGAATTTTTTTTAAAGAATATACATTAAGACCAGTATTACTTGAAACCAGTAATATCTCAATTTTTCAAAAACTGTACTTATGTGACTTGTCCTCAAAGACCTTCAAATGAATAGGTTGTTTCGAAAAGTGACCAACTCTAGCAAAAAAAGTCGAGAAAACTGAAAAAACCTTACTTGGTGGAAATTTTTCGTTGAATGGGAAACGTTTTTGACGCGTGGTTTTCAGTTCCTCAAAAGAGCCTCGAAACCAAAAATATGAACCTTTTTGGTCCTTAAATAGTACAAAAATAGCGCACATAAAATTTTGAGTAGAGCACTTTTTGGAAAAAAACTTGAACGCGTGCCCATGTGTTTAATGTAAAATGCAAAAAAAGTAATAAGAAATACATGCATTATTTGGCCTGTAAACTGTATTAATTGCTACCATTTTAATTCGTTTTAAAAATTCTCGTTTAAAGCTTTATAATTTTTCTTGGACAGCCCGGTTACCCACCGTTCCTGGTGATGACGTGGGTTCCAGTGTTGGACTACAATATCACCGCGGATCCATTCTTTCTCTCGAATCTGACTGAGATGCTCAGCCAACCCAACTTCACATGGATCAACGGTGCCACAACTTACGACGGTTCTTACTTTACCGGCCGTGAGTATGACCACTATACTGCCGTCCTAAGGAAGAACGCCGTGTGAGCCTTCACAAGTTGCCAAATTTCCTCTCAGATCTTTTTTTTAAGAAAGCTATGAATATTATTCCTTGAAATTTTCAGGAAACTGCTGGTCAAATTACGAACAAACTTCTCTGAAAAATAGGAAGAAAAATATTTATAAAATCTGTAAATTCGTGATTTGTCAAAGGATATTTGGCAACGTCAGGAGGCTTATACGGCGTACTTCCTTAGCGCGGCAGTATAGGTATTATACATACATACAAGTCGCTTTACAGCACTCCCTCGCGCTCTACGACTCCTAACCTCCACTGCTCTCTTTCAAACCACAAATCTTGGGGGATTGAGCACCTCAACATCTCTGCTTCAATCCCGTCCCTCCAACCTTTCATTGGGCGCCCTCTGCGTCTTCTCCCAGGAGGAACCCAGTCAAGGACCTTCTTCGGCAACCATGACCATACCAGATGAGTTGTTTTGTCATAATGTCATGCACGATGGTCTGCTTGGCATCCATGATATCCCGTACCGTCTCATTCCTGACGCGATCCTTTCTGGAAATACCAGCGGATCTACGCCAGAAGTCCATCTCTGTTGCCTCTAAAACCTCCCGGGTCCGCTACTAGGACTAGGACGCCGCTAGTATAGGTATTATTACTTTCAAAATCTAAATTATTTTCATTCGCCTTCACAAATAGCCTTTTGTGTAATACTTAATTCATTTGTTTTTTTAGTCAGAAATGGCTCCATGACCTACCGTCAAAATCTATTCTTCATAAAAGACGAAGCAGAATTCACGAAAAAAAGAGCACAGGGTTGTTGGGTGATATGAACATTTCCATTTAATTGAATCAGTGAAAACGAAAACACATACTAACTCGAAAAAATGAAAATAATCAAGATACACGCAGAACCGCACAGTGGTTGAAGAAGTTAGTACAAGAAAAAGAAGTTTGGTGCCAAAAGACAGGTGCTTAAGGACACTTTAAATGTCCCAGTTTGAACAGATGCGTTAACTTCAATGACCTTAATGTAAACTGACTCTCTTGAATGAAAATTGAGCACTTTTGAGTTACCGAGTTGGTATGTTTTCGTTCGCACTGATTCAATTGTGGTACTACCCCAGTAAATTAGGGTACTATTGCAACACTACTCCAACATTAGTTGCGGCACTACCACAGATTGAAAATCTCCATATTATCCAACAAATTGGAGTGGTACCACAATTTTAGGGGATAACCCCCAAACAATTTTTCCCGGGACGTTTTCAATCAGATACTCCGACAACTACCCCAACTTACTCTGATACCCCAACTACTCCGATAACTACCCCAAATTGAGTTGCGATACTAACAAAATCAATTGAAAATCTCCATATCATCAACAATTTGGGGTAACAGCACAATTTTAGGGGATAACCCCAAAAATGTTTTTCCCGCGACGATTTCAATACGATGCTCATTCTTTATTTTTTTATTTTTTAATGTTCCCAGATATTTACGGGTATCCGAAATTCGTTGAGCAAATCAAAGCTAATCCAGAACGGTATCTACCGCAGCTACTGTTTCTACCACAGTACATACCTGAAGAGGACGTCCCAAAATGCATGGCCAGAATTTCCGACTTCTACTTTGGTTTCCCGCCGCAAGTTACTCAAAAGTCACTCACAATTGTAAGTGTTGGCGGGCACAAGTTGGGTGTAGATTTTTTAATAAAGTCTCGAACTTTGGTTGGTATTTCACATCTCGGTTTTTTATGAAGTTTTGGCGAATTTTATTTTTATTTTAATGTTTGCCAGGAATTGACTATGTTACTTATCTATAAATCTCTAACTTGACTATCCAAAAATTAGTGCACCCTCTGCTTTTTTCTGCATGGAATGTCTTGAAACATTGCAACCTTCTTTGAAATTAAATATTCACAATATGAGTGCCTATTGATGTATTATTCATCACCACGGCCTTTAATATCGGCGACAAAAATAAGTGTCTTTTCCTAGTTGTTTGTGATCCTATTAGAGTAGTTGCACCTACTATGACGAATAGAAGAAAATTATATATGAGATGCTGTTCTAAAACTTTTTAAACATAACGAGAACAAAAGAAACTAAAATACAGCGGAAAGTGTGTCCAAATCACAAAAAAAGTTCAACCTTAAGAGGACTTGGATTTCCACATACTGTCGCCACATATCATTAAGGATTGTAAATTCCAGCGGAGATTTAAGTTTTCTAAAGAAGACTCTTTTTGTTAGCTTGTTTCATACATTTTTATTTTTTGTTGCATATTTCAGCTGATGACCGATGCGTATTTCTACCAGCCTGTGATACAAACGTCACCGCTCAACGGAGGACCAACATACGCCTACCAATATGCATTCCCTTACCGTCATTCAACTTGGAACAACGTCTACGGTCCAAGAGACGTCATCACAGGTAAACGCCTGCAGCTATACCTACGCGTGATGAAGTTGAATAAACAACGGTCAAATAAGCTGGACATACACTGGAAATAAAAGACTCTCGGATCCAGAGTCCAGACTCTTAAAAAGATTGACAAGAAAAAAATCTCTTGATTTAATCGGATTTTTGCTTGAATCAAAAGGAAATCCGCTTGAATTAAGCAATTTGGCTCTCGATTCAAGCAAAAATCCGATTGAATCAAGAGTATTTTTTCTTGTCAAATTTTTTGAACGTCTGGACTCTGAATCCAAGATACTTTTTTCCAGTGAAGGTAAAACAGCAGGAAAAATAAACTGGAAGTACCTTGCAAAACTCAAGTGTGGATTGCCACAGCAACATTCGTAACTGATAACATAAATTACACCGAAAAAAAATGAAAAGGCCCTAATGACGCAGATGAGTGGCTAAAAGAGGAGGATCCAGGAAGTCTCAATATCAAATTACCTGAAATTTCTATGGGAGAAGGGGGGCGTTAGCAATTTTCAGGATTTTCTAATTTTCTAAACTTTTCAGCATCAATTAATTTTGCCTAGCACTTAACCCTTCTTCGTGACTCCGATGACATTTGCGCACTAAATCCTCATGAAAAATAATGAGCTGTAGGTACGGCCAACGTACCCTTTTCAGTACTGTTTTATTCATTCATTCAAGGGATGGCAGTTGAAGGCATAGATTCTGCTGCTTCATACAATCATCTCGTTATCTTCCGGCCAAAGTATCACAAGCCCCATGCGGCCTTTCAAAATTTCCACCGCCATTTTATTTTTTATAGAGAAATTTTTTATTGAATCTGAATATTTCGCTGAATTTTATCGTCAGCACATGGAAAATTCAGTGAAATTTTCGGACAGCTTTGTTGAACAATTATCTGTGTAAGAAAATTTGTTGGCAGCAGATATTTTGAATCCTCACATTGCGCTTGTGATACTTTAGCCGGAAGGTAATGACCTGGCGATGAAATACACAGCTAAGACCTTTCAGGATATGATTTTCTTTTCAGTGCTAAATTTGTTAGAATATATTGATGCAGTTCGGGCAGAATTATTTTTTATTTACTCGATTTCGTTTTTTCAAAGTTAAGAGGAAGATTGTCCTCAACTGTAATCAAGATTGTGAAAACCAAAAAATGTACATCTGCAACGATTGAAGTTTTGTGATTAATAAAATACTTATTTCTTAATTTCCTGCAGAGAAACCTGGCCATTCAGACATCTTGCTAAACTTTTTTGAAACTTCTAAATACTTTAATCGGTCAACAGACACCCAGACTGAAGTAGATGTTTCAGAGAGACTTGTCGACCTCTTCACTAGTTTCCTAATCTTTGAGTAAGTGTTTTAGTGACAAAGTTTAAAAGTGTACTGAAAATTCGTTATTCCCTCTTTACTATTTTACAATATTTTTACTGACTTTTCCCGTTTTGCACAAAGAAAGAAAATTAAAAATTTGGCACACAACTTTACGAGTAGCTTAAACAAAGTTTCCGGCATTCAGTATTTCAATGAAGTATTTTATCCAGTGTCTCAAGTTTCCCGGTTTCCCGAGTTCACTAAGAGCCCGTGCCCTAATTGAATGATACTAAAAATATAATTGTTGTAGTTATTTGACGTCTAGACTACCAGATTTGGCAAAAAGCAAAATATGCTATCGAAAATGAGTCATCAAGCATCAATACATGGAGTACATTCATTGATCGTCAATACATCGATTGATTTTGATGAAATGGGACTAAAAAGGGGAACTTTCAAAGCTGCCGTCTTCGATCGGGCTGAAACAATTTGTAGGAACTCTTTGGATGAATCCATTAGGACCACTTGTTAGTTGCTCCCAATGCGCCCTGAAAACACCCCCCCCCAAAAAAAAAACCAAAAAGAAAATCCGGAAAGTCCGGTTTTGAGCGCTGATTAATACTCTTGTTTCTCGCGTCACTTTCAGCCTCGTCCGGATACTCAAAAAGAAAGCTAAAACGCCTTCAGCTTTTTGTATATGCAATACGCGTGTCCATTGAGTAACAATAGTTGCGTGCAGTGTCACTTATTAAGGTGATTCGACGGTTGCCATTTTTTGTGTCAGAGCGACGTGCGATATATCGCATCAATTCGTTCCATAATTTCAGCTACCTGTCATTTTTTTCGAATGTTCAGATCGCACTTCTATTGTCATGAGACTAAAATATTCATGTACCGAATTTTAGAAACAAATTCAACGTATTAAAGGCAGGGTTTCTTCAGAGGTAAAATAACGCATTCGAGAGCTGTTTCGATATCGGTGTCGAATGCGATATTTTCCCCCTATGAAACCCGGCTTTTATTACGTTGAATTTATTTGTCAAATGCACATGAATTCTTTAGTCTCATGACAACAGAAGTGCGATCTCCAAATTCGAAAAAAATGACAAGTAGCTTAAATTATGGGACAAATTGATGCGATATATCGCACGTCGCTCTGACGCAAAACATAGAAACCGTCGAATCACCTTAACTTCGCGTTGCATCCGTTAGCCGCACCGACCTTCTCACTGTAGCTATATCTTCTGCATCAATTTAGACGGATTTATGTAGAATCAACGACATAGCACAGGAGAGAATTTCATGAGCTGCCCTGCGCTGCTCCGCGCTCTCCGCAGCGCGCATGGCACACGACCTGCCTTTATTCATCTAGCGTTGAGAGTTCACTTATTATTTCACACGATCAGTGTGTAATTTTAAAAGTTGTAGATTAAAAGAAAATTAAAAAAAAAAAATTACACGACATGCGATTTTCTCGGCCAGGAAGCTCTTCCCGCAACCGTTTACCACCCGCCCAAGTCGGGAGCGCCGCGACGTGCTGCCAGCGCGAAACGCGCACTGACGCCTACAAACCCAAAGGACCACTTCACGCATTGCGCAATGCTTGAAGTATCCCCTTAGGTTTGTAGGCGTCAGTGTGCATTTTGTGCAATGCTTGAAGTATCCCCTTAGGTTTGTAGGCGTCAGTGTGCATTTTGCGCAATGCTTGAAGTATCCCTTTAGGTTTGTAGGCGTCAGTGTGCATTTCAAGCTGGTAGCGGCAGCACGCCGTGCCATGGCGTGCCATAAACTTGCCTACAATTAATAGGTCAGGGTGTTAAAATGTAGGCAATTTGACATCAAATTCAAGATCAGCGACTCAAAAAAACAATAATTACGAAACTACCGTGATCTTTCAGTCATTATCCGACTTATTTCTTCCTATTCTTGAGTTTTGGACCATAGTGTGCCGCGGGCGGCGGCGCTCATGAAAAACTCCCCTGTTCTCAGTCGCATAATCAAAGGGACTGCATTCCAATTAAATTTCATAAATCAGCCCGTTAAAAAGAGCGTGTTCTTGTGTCAAAGCAAAAACATAATTCGAAAATTTTAAATAATATCTCATCCTGAAATCTTATCCATGAACTTTGCGTTTTCAGGGGACCCACCCAGGAGAATGTGACTTGGACCACTGTAGGATCAGAGCAGAATTTCACTTACGAGTATTTAGACAAACAATTCACTGAGCGACAAAATCCGTATCCGGACAGAACCGAATTTTGGAGACACCTCCGTTCTGACTTTCCCGGGCTATACTAAAAAAAATTACTCACTTGTTAATAAATTAATTAATTATTGTATGAGAAAAATTAAGGCTGTGTTGGAAATATTTATTCACTATCGCAGAAGAAATCGAGGCACGGCGAAATTCGCAATTTCACAATAGTCACGCGATAGTGTTACGTGGTTTTGCACTTTAGCCATCAATCTGAACCTCTCACGCAACCACGCACCGCAGCACTATTGTGCAAAAGAAAAAATGAGAGTTTAAGAAAATTTGATTCAATGTAGTATTTCATTATTCAAAAATCATCTCCTTACTAGGACCCATTTAAGTTGCAAAATTGATGAACAGAATCCAAAGTTTTACAAGAATGGTTTCAGGACATTTTGTCAACGATTTTTTGTCCGCGCACCTTTTTTGTCCAGTAGTTTACGCCCACACGTAAAGAAGCAACGGTGACTTGGTTCAGGCGTTATATTTTAGTCGGCATGTACAATTATATTGCGACAATATGGGAATGAGAAATTGAGAGAGAAGGAGGTATTGTTATGGTTGCTCATTTTCTAAATGAAAAGTTATTACCAACATGTTGTTATGTGTTGTTGTTGCTGTTTCCAAGCGACATTAATCTCAATAAGCCGCAGTTGTACCGACAGAAACTGCAAACATGAAGAAAAAAGGTAAAAAACCAAGAAGCACGCAATCTTTATAGTTTTAACCCATTTGTACATCGATCTTTAAGAGTCAAATACGTCAAATTTTGAGCGTTTGGTTGCGCGTACACCTCGCTGCAGCACAATAAAAGCACAACATGTGAAAGAAAAAATTAAAGTGCTTTGGAAATCATTAAATTTGACACGGAACCACCAATATTTAAAAAACACACATTATATTATTATTCTCTTTTGATAAATTGATACATATTTTTCCCCCATCAATTTAAATGAGAATAATCAATGCAGAGTGTGCAAACATTTCAAAATCTTGAGTTAAAAAACGCTGGCAATGCGAGTATAAATATTAAAGCCTAACAGAGCGGAGCGGCATGCTGCCAGCGCGAGAGGCTCACTGGGGCCTACAAACCTAAGTGGATACTTCACGCATTGCACAATGCTTGAAGTATCCACTTAGGTTTGAAGGCGCCAATGCGCGTTTAGCCTGAAGCAACTATTTCACAACAGAGGTGTTGCACAGTTTCATAAGAAATTGAACGTATTAAGAATGACAGGCATCCTTTAAAAGTACGGATCTTTCCTCGCAAAATAAATCAAGATACTTGTCGTACACAGGAAAAATCTAAGAGCCTTTAGCTGAGGCAAATATAGAGGTTCATCCGGTTCAGGTATAACAAGGTGGGAAAATCTTGAAAGATAATTAAGTCCTGTTACACCAAAGAGGTGTAGAGAGTTTTAGTGAATTTTGTCTCATGGAATTGACGCTCCCCCATTTTTACCAAAACTCTCAACTATATATTATTCTCCGTTGGATCAAACAGACAAAAAAACAAACAAACTAGCAAACCTTCATTATTCCAAGACATTATACATTTTCATCCAAAAACGTCGTGAGCAATTGTCGTTTGTATTTACATGTGTGCCAATTAACTTTGTGTCTCAACTGGCACGTGGACCAAAATTCCCGTGCCGAAAAAACGCGTGGACTTAAATTTCTGGAAAAAACAGGTGCGCGGACAAAAAATCGTTCACGAAATGTCCTATAATCTACAAGAATATTTCTGCGCAATTTTCCCCATTAATTTTGCTGATTCGTAAGGATACGCAGTTTCGCACTTTAGCCATCGATAAACATTATTTACGCAACCACGCGAAAAAAAAGAAAAGAAAAGAAAGAAATTTATTTTCTGTTAAAAGAAAAAATGAAAAATTAGGAAAATTTGTTTCAATGAAGTACATCCTTGGTCAGAATCAGATCCTTAAAGAGACTCCACTTAAGGTTCAAAATTGATGAATAGAATCCAAATTTTTACAAGAATATTTCTTGCCTACTTACTTAAGATTACTTGCTTTTTTACACAATGATATTATTCAGTAAAATTGCCAGAATTATAGTAGCATTCAACAAAACTCTGGAGATGCTCACTATAATATGGTAAACGTTACCGTAGAGTCTGGTGTTTATTACCATACTCGTATCAATGTGTCAGAGTATGGTATGATCTACCATAATTTTTTCAGTGACCAATGCTTTCTATCGATCGGGATCATTCGCTAACCAGTCGAAAATCAATAAGCCCTTGGCTCAGTGGCGTGGCGTGCCTTGCGATATATCGATTGATCTGTCACTGAAACCTATGGAAAAGGATCGATTAACAGGGTGTTCGCAGAGGACATCTTAATGATCGATTCTTTACCACGGATTCAATTGGGGAAACATCGATAGTTGATCATTCTCGCCACGCCACTGCCGCACAGTGGATCGAGCCAATAGGAGAGGTCGGACATAATTTGGAAAATTTAAGAACTTATGACTCCGTCTATATAATACTTTGAGGTTCTAAAAGAGCTTCCATTGACTCCCTCGTAAAATTTTCTACTGAAAACACCCCTTAAAATTTAAATTGTGACGGAATAAACATAAAAAATTTGCAGTTTTAGTTAAAAATTTCATGTCCGATTTCTCTAATTGACTCGATCCACTGTGTGCCGTGGCTACCACTCAGCATTGCGGAAGCATGCTTGTCAAATAGTGCTGAAAATCAGCATTTTTACATCGAATTTAACGGGTATGAGTTGATTTTCAGCGAGATCTGGCAACTATGTGCGGAAGGGACGTCGGGATTTCGGAGTGGGGTCGACAGAGTCGCAATGGATTAGCGGGAGTCAAGAGGAGGAGGGCTCCGAAATAAGGGACAATCTGGTGGTTTAGTTATTCATGCGAGTGTCCCTGCCCCTCCCTCCGGGCACGCGTCCCTAACGCCCCGATAAGTACCCTAATTAGACTCGAATTATAAATTGAATTCCGGCTCGAATATCAGTTTAACGCATCGTCTAATCCGCCCCTTTTCCACTGCGGTTTTCTTCATTCGACTCGGTGGATGTGTGAGAAGCTGCTTTTAAAAGCTGAGTCGATGCTGCCGTGCTAAGGAAGAACGCCGTATGAACATTCGAGAGTTGCCAAATCTCCGTCGATAAAACATGTATTTTTGACGACATTCATGCACATTTTCCTTTGAAATTTTCAGATATTAGTGTATTTTCTTTCTTAGTGTGACTTCATTCTCCCATGATGTCGAAACCAGACCTGAGACATTGTGAAGAGCGCCGATCACGGGTCGTATATCACGAAAATATCTGTATGTATGTATAAAGTCGCTTTTATAGCGCTCTTCGGCGCTCTGCGACCCCTAGCTGCCAAAGTCCCCTATCCTTCCAAAGCCCTTCAGGCAGTTGACAAACCCTCATTTCCTCTGAAACCCCCAACGAAACTATATGCCATTCAAATTCATGTGTATATATGTAGGAAATATCTGGGGAAAAAACTATCCATTACTTAATGGCTTACAGACGTATGATTCTATGACTACACCAATCCCACTTCGGGAAATACACTTCCTTCCCGCGGTGGATGCGCGGGACACTTGGACGTATTTATACGAAAGGGAACTAAGCGCCAAATTTCCAAATTTCAGTTTTTAACGGATCTGGATTCTCCATGTAATAGGCTGCTCTCACACGTAAATATGCCCCCAAAATACTAATTTCATCCCCTGGAATCAGCCCCTGAAAAATCGCAAAACAGGGAATCAGCGATTACGAATAAAATCAAAAGGAACTATATGTAATTCCCTTTGATTTAATGCGCTAACCCGGATTCCGAATTAANTCATGAATGATCAATCGTTCACTGGAAAAAAACACATTGGATCTAGAGACCAGACTCTTGAAAACATTGACAAGAACAATACTATTGGACGTATTTATACGAAAGGGAACTAAGCGCCAAATTTCCAAATTTCAGTTTTTAACGGATCTGGATTCTCCATGTAATAGGCTGCTCTCACACGTAAATATGCCCCCAAAATACTAATTTCATCCCCTGGAATCAGCCCCTGAAAAATCGCAAAACAGGGAATCAGCGATTACGAATAAAATCAAAAGGAACTATATGTAATTCCCTTTGATTTAATGCGCTAACCCGGATTCCGAATTAAATCAAAAGGCGCTATCTCCACTTGATTGACGCGCACGCGGCGAAGCTTGGTGGAAACTTGGTGACATTTAGTACCGGGGGGTATTTTTGGACGGGAAACTCGAATTTCGGGTCAAATTTTGAAAATTCAGAAATCCATGATGGCGGACATGGCCTAAAATGCTATCTCGGCCCCTATCCAGCCGATCTTGGTGAAACTTGGTATCAGGGGGTATTTTCGGACGGGAAACTCGAATTTCGGGTCAAATTTTGAAAATTCAGAAATCCAAGATGGCGGACATGGCCTAAAATGCTATCTCGGTCCCTGTCTAGCTGATCTTGGTGAAACTTGGTATCAGGGGGTATTTTCGGACGGGAAACTTGAATTTCGGGTCAAATTTTAAAATTTCATAAATTCAAGATGGCGGATGTGGCCTAAAATGTTATCTCCTATTTAAACGCGCATCGCCAAAAAATCCCAGATGTCGTCCCCTGAGTGACGGTCACATATCGACCGTGCGTTC